GTAGAACCCGTGAACGTGGAACCCATATCAGTCGAGCCGGTGAGCGCAGAACCCATATCAGTAGAACCCGTGAACGTGGAACCCATATCAGTCGAACCGGTGAACGTTGAACCCGCAGGAAATGAAACGGAGAATACATTGTCGACGTCTATGGAACCGGTGAACGTTGAATCCGCAGGAAATGAGACGGAGAATATCTTGTCAACCTCCGTCGAACCGGTGAATGCTCAACCCGCAGGAAATGAAACCGAGAATATCATGTCGACCCCTGTGGAACCGGTGAGCGCTGAACCCATATCAGTCGAACCGGTGAACGTTGAATCCATATCAGTCGAACCGATGAACGTTGAATCCATATCAGTCGAACCGATTAACGTTGAATCCATATCAGTCGAACCGGTGAGCGTTGAACCCGCAGGAAATGAGACGGAAAATATCTTGTCAACCTCCGTCGAACCGGTGAATGCTCAACCCGCAGGAAACGAAACGGAGAATATCATGTCAACCTCCGTCGAACCGGTGAATGCTGAACACGAAGGAAACGAAACGGAGAACCTCATTCCGACCTCTGTCGAATCTGTTATCATTGAATCAACAGTGGGCGAAACGCTGAGTCAGGGACCAAGCGCCGAAGAAATCGTCAACTCCGCAGACAGCGTAAAGGAAGACGTGAGCCCTGAAACAACATCAGTCGAATCACTGGACGTGGAATCCACAATAACCGAACCAACAAGCAATGATGCCTCTTCAGTAAAGTCGGTGAACATCGAATCAACTGATAACGAAACAGTGAACCCCGAACCCAACGTAACCCAAGCCCCCAGCGACGAGACTAGCAAGGTAGAAGTAGACACGAAGAATTTTACTGATGAGGATCTTTCAACCATTGTGAAAGTACCCGATAAAGCGAGTGATGGATCAGCTGCAGAATCAAGTGACTTCCCCGATTCTATATTTAAGGAAAACGTGGATAACTCCAACCGGCCTGTGAGGTTGGAAGATGCGTTGCCTGACCCCCCAGTAAGTGAGGAAACACAACGTGAACCTTCTAAATCGATTGAATCGGCTGAAGGGGATTATATCACGCACAGTGGAAGTGGTGACACCACGCGAAGTGCCCCCAGCACCAGTGACGATACCAGCGGTAGTGACAATGCCAGCGGTGGTAACGATACCGGCGGAAGTAACGATACCAGCGGCAGTAATAATTCGGAAATTTCTGGAAAGGATAAATTGTTAAAGTCTGATGACTCAGATATAGAACCCCCTATTATCCCGGAAAAGTACCCAACGACTGGAATTGAAGATGCGTCCCAAACGGGTTCTCCGGAAAAGCCAGTGACAGATAGTGTTGCTTCGTCTTCCAAAGTTACGGATGCATCGAAGATGTCCACCCCCGATAAGCAGTCCTCTCCCGATAAGCAATCTCCCCCGCATAAACAATCTCCCCCACATATGCAATATCCCCCACATAAGCAATATCCCCCGCATAATAAATATCCCCCACATAAGCAATATCCCCCGCATAAGCAATCTCCCCCACATAGGAAGCCCACTCCCAATAAACAGTCCACTCCCAATAGACAGCCCACTCCTAATAAACAGCCCACTCCTAATAAACAGCCCACTCCTAATAAACAGCCCACTCCTAATAAACAGCCCACTCCTAATAAACAGCCCACTCCTAATAAACAGC